CCCCAAAACCCCAAAACCCCAAAACCCCAATAAAGGACTTTGATATTGAAAGTCTTCTGAAATTCAATATAGAAATCTTGGTTTCTCTTTATACTTTCTAGTATGCCTTAGGCATTCGAAAACTGGACTCTTTTTTCTTTACTTTGACGTGAGATTTCTTCAGAGCCAATAGAGCTGGTCTTTTGAATGCTATGGCTGAAATACATAAGCTTGGCTGCTTCTGATTTGAGCTCATCAAAGTCATGATCGTATTTGTCAATAAGGTAAACAATATTGGAAGGGCTGTTTTCTGAAAGAATTAAGGATTGAGAAGTTGATGATTTTTCTTCCTCATCGGTTGGATTATTATAGTTTATTCTATGCAAGGTCAAGAGAAAATTGAGGTAAGAAATGACATAGGGTTTTAAGAGTAGGCTTAGGATTGGATAGTCATTGAAAAGATAATCAAATTTATGTACCAATAAGATTAAGATAGAGTTTTTAATTTTCTTGGTGTTGCAAAATAAGTATTTCAAACTATTAAAAAATATTGTTAAATAAACAAAAACAGTTTTCAAACTTCCTCTCACTGACTCTAGCTATCAATCAAGATCCTCACTTACATTTCAAATTCTTCTTCAATGCCATCCTTCTTCATTTCCTCTTCTGTGTGATATTTTTGATCTAATCCCTGCACTTCTTGCTTAAAATGGTCCCATTTCCACAAAGAATTCTCAATAATTTTCTGCTTAGCCTTATTCATCTGCACTAACTCATCCTTCTCCTTTTCCAACGCCTCTATCCTCTCCTTTAATTTCTCCAATTGCCCTATTCCCACTCAAACAACCCCTATCTAAAGTCTACCCTCTTCACCCTAATTCCTACCTTCTGTTTCCTGCTCTCTACTTCCTTCAGATTTTATTTCCTCTGAACTCAGTCCTGTTCCTTTCTTTTTTCTGATAAAACCCCAAGTGCCTTGCTCCAGTCAGATCTTGAAAAGTCTGGCTGGAGGGTTGACTTGGAGTAGTAGGAAGTTTAGGCAGGGATTTTAGGGGTAATGATTACCTGGGAGTCTGGGCAGGAGTAGGGGTTGCCAGAGGTTTTAGTAGTGCGACTTTTCGAATACATATTACTTCCAATTGAAGGATCCATTGGAATTATGCTCTCATCGTCATCAGTTCTGCTAACAATTTCAGGCTCTACCAACTGATCTTTCACCTCAGACTTTCTCTCTTCATTATTAGGGACAACCAAGTCTTCTGGCAGTACCGACTCAAATACTTCTTTCATTTCCAACTGAGGAGTTTGTTCCCTTTTAAAAGCATTAATATTTATACCTTCAGGCATATATTTCTGTTAGCTTTAATTCTCTGACTTAAAATTTTCAGGAAAAAATTCTTCTGAAAGCCCTTGGGTTCAGCGATAATTTAGATTTTGAATTTTTGAGGGATTTTAGAGCAGTTATAGGGGCTTTAGAGCAGATTTTTGTACTGAAATTGGCTGAAAGAGGGTTTACCTTAGGTTCAATGACATTTTTAATAGTAAATATTAAAATTTAAGCATATTTCGATCTTAAATATTACTAGTGGGGTTTTGGGGTTTTGGGGTTTTGGGGTTTTGGGG